AAAATGACTGTGAGGGGTGTAAATGTCTATTATGTTGCTTTGTACAACTGAAACTAATACAAAAAATAGAAAAGTGAGATATACATTTGCATTTACAATGATTAGAATTATGTATAATTGCATATAAAAAGGCCTGGAAAGAAATACTCTAAAATAATATTTATGGTTTAGAGGGAAGTGATCATATTACCTTTCATTATAAATTGTTGAAACAGAACAGCACCTTCCTCAAAAGGGGATTTCTTCATCATCCTAGCTTCCTCCATCTTTCTTTTGCTTGGCTATCAAGTTTTACACATTAAATATCATTTATATTTCTTACACCCTTTTCACCCTTGCTGTCCCACCCTCATCCAAGCCCGATGACTCACAGGCAGGATTTGACGCTAGTCCCCTGAGGAGGGTCCGTCGGGTGGATCCACTCAGCACTCACTTCCAGCCCTTCTCCCTACTCCTGCTCCTCGACGTCCCAGCCTAACCGAGACCTCGTGACATGGTTCTGATGAAGAAAGCATTGTTGGAAATCGACTGAAGAAGCTGGAAGAATAGGATGGTGACAGTCCACCTGCTGAGGGTGGTGGGAGAAAAGGCAGAAAGGGTCCCCGACAGTCTCATTATGGCAGCTGCCGCTGAACTTCTCCTTGTGGGAGAAAAGCCTCCCTTATTTTGTAGGTACTGTCTATTTTCTGTTACTTACAGCCTAATGTGTGGCTGACAAATAATATGTTGCCTAGCTGCCTTCCTGACTCTAGTCTTATATCATTCATTTGGCCCCACATTTATTTTATAAGGGTGAAGGAAAAAAACACCAGAATAGAGTACTGAATAATCACTGATAATAAAAGCAAAGGACAGCTGACATGTGAAAACAATGATGAAGGCCTAAAAACTACAAAAAGCATGAATAAAAAATTTTAAGAGTAATCTAGGTCCATTTAGCAAAGTTGTAAAAAATTCCTACGTATATCAATAGATCCTTAGGGCATTAGTATTAGTACCACATACAGTATAGTAATGAAGACTTCCAAGAAATAGTCATTCCACAAAACACATTCAGCCTACAGTGGATACAATCCTTTCATGTTTCGTGAGCCAGCTATAAAAGACCACTGTAGGAGTTTAGAGTTGAATTGGAAAGAAAATACATGAACAAAATAATTGCACAAGTAAATAATTAAAATCTATGTTATAAATTATCAAATTAAAGCGTGGGTTTTATAAAGGAGAACCTGTTGTTGTCCAAGTATTAGTGGAATAGGGAGCCAACAAGGAAGGCTTCCTTGGAAAACTGAAGTTTGAACTAGCTCAAAATATAGACCTGCTTTGTTAGACAAATGAAGGGAGGAGGGGTTGGAAGGAGAGAAATAACATTTGGGGAGGACGGATGGCACATACAAAGGCCCAGGGGCAAGGGGACAAACACTGATTCTGAGGAGCCCTAGCCTGCATGTGTGTGTGTTTGTTCTAGCACATCAAGAGAAGATGAAATTATGTTCAATGCATTCTGCTTAAAAAGAAAGCCACATACAAAATTTAGTTTTGAAAATTTTCCACTTGGAAAAAATAAAATTAAAATAGTTATCTGCTGAAAATACTATCTGTAATGTTTGCATTGTCATTCTATACAAATATTTAAACATGTACTAAGTACCAGGTGCTATACTAAATTCTGGGGATATAAATATGAGCAGGTTACGTTCTGTGCCTGTAAGGAATTGCAATAAGTAATGAAGAAAATGAGGTAAACAATTACAGCTAAGTATAATGAGCATTTTGATGGAGGTGTGGCCAAAGGCTAGGGGGGCATCAAAAAGAAATCATTAGTTTACTCAGGGGTTGAATTATCTTGAAAATTAATCTATATCTAGCACATTATTATCAAATGATATTAAATAAATGGACTGTGACTGAGCTTAAGCATGAAACAAGCCAGAAAATCTATCAGATATCAAAAATCTGACAGATATCAAAAGGTAATGGAATTGTGTAATGGACTTCAAAGTACACAATCCTACCTCAAAAAACAATTCTGAGAATTACATCACTCCTTCTAGGCTTGGGCAACCATTCAAGTAACCGAATTTGAGCATAACTGAATTTTAGATAATATATTTGAGATTAAAAAAATAAAGGAAACACTGAATTAGACGTGACTATGTACACAAGTCAGGATCAGATAGAAAGGCAGAAAAAGCCAACAGAAGTTTAATGTATTCTTTTATTGAGATTCAACTAAAAGACTTATACTTAAAAAGTTTTAATTGCAAGCACTAAAATTAGACTTTTCATTTACTGTAGTTTATAAGATTATCAATAAACAAAGCCCAGAGACTTGAACCTTTGCATTAGTTCTGGCAATGATCAGCTGTGTAAAGACAGAGTCACGCGGCTTCTCTGAGTCCCAGTCTCAGTCCCCACAGTATGAAACAGAATAATTTCACCAGTAACATCCAATGATTCTAAAACAGCCTTTCCAGAAAAATCACACATCACTGTATCATGTTCAATGATTTCAATACTAGTCAACTGTGGCTATAAAAACTGAGGAGAATACAAACCATTTTACCAACAATTTGCCAGGCCAGGATACATCAGTACAATACTTTATAGTATTTACAAACAATACTTTAAATTTACCCAAGATAAATTGGCAAATGTATAATGCCTGAGAACTATGCAGCTACGTAAAGGTAAGGAGTCGCTCTGGGGTCCAGTGAAGACTGTGGCCTCAGTGACTAGGAAACACACACTTTCCGGCAGGTAGAATCCTTTTGATGAAATCTATGTCCTTCTCTTGGATAAAGCAAATGATAAAAAAAATCACCTGAATATACTGTCAGATATCACTGTACAATATCATGAAGATAAATGGAATAGGTATATACTATCTCTGTTGTAGGATATAATTCTTCCCCTCTCAGTAAGTTTTACTTAAAGTGGTTGATAAAGTTGCTTAAAGTGAATGAGCTACAATATGTGTGCCAAAGGGGAGTTTGGTAATTTTTAAAGAAATGGAATACGGTTTTGTCTTTAGATCCAAAAAAATGACACAGTAATTATACGCAGTGCTACATGATAATTCTAAGTGTAATTACAGTATAATTTTTCTGACATGCATTTACTATCCATCTCCATAATTATGCATAGATTATGTTACCTTGTTTTTCAAATTCTCTACTATCTCCTTGAGGTGCAGACTTTTCAAATATGTAGATGAATTTTAAAATACGTGGTGCCTACAATACCTACTTCATCACAGGACCTCAACATATGCATATCAGCCACAGTACTAACATTTATGGAAATAGCTAATTCTAGTTCTAGAAAGCCAACCCTGTACTATTGTACTTATTAGCTTATTTTATAAAAGTAAGAATGTTGGGGAAAGGATATCTCTTTTGTAGCTTTTTGTAATATAAAATGGTTTACTGTACTCTATCCTGTGCCATCTCTTCTCCTAGCAGTGAGAGGGTCCACATCACACACAATGCAAGAGGTTTTGACAAACATGAATGAGATCCCTCATGCAGGTTTTCATGGAAAAGAGCAGCCACACTGCACACATTTTCAAGACCAGCAGTCACAGTCCTTTTGACTGTGCTGTAACATGCAGCCCAGGTGGACAAGCACAGCCGCATATCAGCTCGCCTCTTTTCCTGCCCAGACCTCACATCGCTCCGTTAAATGTCATAGGAATGATGTGATATAAGCAGATGCTACATCCTTTGACAAACATAAAAGAAAATTATAATGTATGGAAATACATATGTTATAGAAAGATGAAAAAAATGGATGAATGATGGAAGTTCTGTGATGGTTAACTGTATGTGTCAACTTGCTTAGACTACGGTGGCCAGTTGTTAGGCCAAACACTGGTTTAGATGCTCTTGTAAAGATACTTGATATATGTGACTATCATTTATAATCAGTAACCTACAATTACAGCAGATTATCCTCCATGATGGGGGTGGGCCTCACCCAAGCAGTTGAAGGCTTTAAGAACAAGGACCATGGTTTTCTGAAGAAGGAGGAATTCCCCTCAAAATTGCAACATAGAAATTCTACCAGAGTTTCCAGCTTCAGACTCAAGACTATAATATCAACTCTTATCTGACTCTCCAGCCTGCAGGCTTGTCCTACAATCGCACAAACCAATGCGTTAAAAGTGCTCCCTCAATCTCTCTCTGCTATATATCCCCTATTGAGTCTCTGGAGAACACTGACTAATATAAGTTTATTCAGAGCATTAAATATATTAGGTATTATCTTTGGAAATATTTTATGACATTGGCAAATTCTATACCAACCCTTAAATTTTAAGATTAGAATAACCATCCTTTCTTAAAAATTTCATGAAACCAGCTGAGAATAAAGCTGACATATTAAGCTTACGTACTCTCTATAGAATTAGACTTATGTACTACAAGTACTATACTATATTATGCACTTTCCATAGAAACTAAGTTTAAGTGCTTTCTACAGGAATAAAACAGTATGAAAATACAAGAGAAGCTAGGTAATGACATCTGACTATCCTCCTTCTATGCAATATCACATACAACAAAGTTCAGTCATTTTGTAGGAATCCAGTAGCATAATCTCATTTGTAACAGCTGCAAAAAATGTTTTCAAAGCAGGGTGTGTACTACAATATTTTCAATTGTCAGACTAGTTATACGTCAGTTAAACCCTGAGGAAACAATTTTTCCTAATGAGCATCACTATTCCCATATCAGAAAATGCCCTTATAAAATTATCTTTGTAAGGAGCAAGTAAATTATAATGGTTTTACTGTTAGACAAAAGTTACATTCTATTAGAATTCTAAGTGGCGGGTTAAAAATGATATTCTCTTCTTTTGTATATAACAGGTTGATATCAGAGAAAATGTTGAAATTATAGATGTAAATTATTTTTTAATTGCCCTCAAAAATTTTATGGGGGGCATCTGTCAGAAAGCCACATTCCTCTCAGAGGCATTGTGAGGAGAATGGTACTTACTAACTGCAGAGTCATAGGAGGTAGAGTTGTGCTCGCCTCTCATGAAGGGATATGGCGACAGGTAAGCATGTGTGCAGTTCTTGGACGGTGGCTGATTAGCTGGGAAGGAAACCAAAACAATGGTATTTGTTACTGAGAAGCCGAGTGAGGACTCGTTCCTAATAAAAGAGAAATACAGGGGCCTGGGGATACACAAGCTAAATAAAACCTCAGGTTAGATGAATAAATTCAGAGAATTGTTGAGTGAGGTGGTAGACTTTCTTAAAAAACTCATACTGAGAAGCACAAAGACCCTGAGGAGTGGTTTTAGCCAAAACATCTAGCCCGTGAGGTAATTCAGTGCCCTTAATATCACCTTAAAATTGAAGGCATCACGTTTCACTTATTTTCTGAACCATGTTCTCCAGTTCCTAACATAATGCCTAGCACATAGTAAGTATCCAAAAAAGAATTGTTTCAAAAATCTAATAAACTTAGATTTAACATTGATCAGTTTCAATTAATATAAAATTTCTTCTAAATCCTATTTATTGCTAGGGAAAAAACGGAAATGATAGATCATACAAGTTAATAATTCAAATATATTTTTAGCATATGAAGAAGCCACAAGAAAAGAACTTTTATGTTGTTTGAAAACTTAAAAATTGCATTGTGGGCATTTTAAGGAGTGAAATACTCTTCCTTTCTCTAAATCCTTGGCAAAATTGTTCTCTTGCATAGTCTGATTTATCCACTTTACCAAAGTTTAAATTATTTTTATCGACATATTGCATGCTTATTTTCCCCCCTGAAATGATTATAAGATAGTCTTTCAAACATTCTTCTCAAAATGCCATCTCATTGTTACTCTGTTCCTTTTAGATATGCCAACTTGCCATCAGCTTGCTTAAGTCTCGTATGATCTCATATTCTTATTACATAGTCCACAATCTTGACTGTTGTGTAACTATCATGCTTTGATTTATCACAGTAAGATTTCATAAGGAGACTCATAATTTTAACCCACAATAAGGCTTAGGGTAATAAATAGTTCTTCTCTTCATTCGATGCAATAAGATAAAGGCTAGCTATTTTCAATGAATTGATTTTCAAAGATTAATACAATATAGTGAATACAGTTGAATATTTTTAAGAAGCTATTCTACTTCAAAAAGAAAGTTTCTGAGAGAATGCAAACATCAAAAGCAAGGCACTTCTTGATACTGCCCACAAACTTGGTTGAAGCCCAAATAGAACAAGCTTTCATCTGCCACAGCTGGTAATTAATGTTCATTATAAAAAAAAAATTAAACTTTGAGGCCATGAATATGAAATAATACATCTCTATTTCTGGATTTAAAAAAAAATGAAAACATTGATTTGCAATGTAGCAGTAGTAGACACTCAAAAAATACTATAAATAATATCTGTTGTGTTAGGGTTAGTGTATTTAAAATACGAGAAAGGAAACAGTGGAAAATTCAGTTTTACCATAAATATCCAGACTTCTACTGATATATTAGAATAAAGTAATTATTGCTATAGCTATTTCTACTAATTGAAAAGCAGTCACTTCACGAACTCTTTGAAGACACCTGAATGGATTCCACAACTAAAAATCCAATCCTATTCTGTAAATGACGTGTACTAAATAAGAAACTGTTTGTTTTTCCTTTTAAACAAGGGAGAGATAAAGTGAAATTGCACTTACTGTACCAGAACTTCCAGATATTGGAATCATTCTCTTCCACAATCCCACTAAACCAACACCTCCAAAAGAATCCTTCATGGTGGAAAGTGACGTTTTCTATCTGCACAGAACACAAAGGAAGTAACTTGCTGTCAACATAAGGAACATAATTAAATGATCCCATCCACTAAAATTTTTAAAGCCATGATTTTTGTCCCAATTCAAAATGATCAGTAGCTTTCTACATATCTCTTCTGTGAAGTAATAGTCACTCCACTACTAATCCTTGATTTCAAGAGATTACCAAATACATCAATAGTTTGAAAAAGAAACGCACATTCTGTTCACCTGAACACTTCCCCACTTCAGTCGCAAGAAGCCAATAATCCGATCCAAAAGCCACCAAAAAGAGTAAAACCCCCAAAGCACCAAAGAGAGCTCCAAAGAAGATGGCAACATTTAGTCTCATTTTCAATTCACTGGTTTCCCTTTAAATGGAATAAGAAATTTAAAAATGGCAGACACCTAGCTTCTCAACAACAAAAAGAATGAGGAGTTTTGAGTAGGCAGAATCTTTTTGAGAACCCTCTCGTAGCTTATGCTTTGGTGGCTTCTCACTCAGAACCAGCTGTTAGGTTGTATTCCTTCTGCTCACCCCTGGAGGGACTCCAGCCTAGCAGCTGAGAATGGCCGGCTATTTTAGGAAACTGATTGAGAAGCTGTCTCTCTCCCCTGGGGATCAAAAAATAGCTGACCTTCCCCTGACTGTAGAGGAGTATCAGGAGCTGGCTATAATGATCATTATTGCTGTTGGAAAATCCATAGAAGTGGAAAGAAGATGGAATGGTATAAAGCCATTGACAGTATTGGCCCAAAGTCTTCAGTGTCTGAACAAGCTTCTCTTAGTCTAGAATGACCATTAGAACCAAGAAGACACTTAAGGCCATCTTTGAAGATATAAAAATCGCAGCTACGGAGAATCACAAACACTTCTCTTGAATATGATTGAAGTTGTAATTAATTCCTTTTAAACGTTTCTGGGGTGGAAAATAATTTGTGGGTCAAAGGGTCTAACGTAACACTGAGTACAGTTCAGGTTTATAACCTAGACATCCAGGTGTGTACTTAAAAGATCAAGAATATGGTAATGTAAACTATTTAAAAGTATTAAACAGTACTTTTATGCAGCACACACTACTGACATAAAAACAGCACTTTCTACAGCAGCTCCCAGATCGTGTATAGGTTATTCCAAATCATCATCCCAAATGGGGACTGGTGAAAAAAACATCTCAAAAGTATATTGTTTTCTGGATTAAGATGAAAGACTCTGGTCTACTCTTTCCTCTGTTTTCTTTATTGTAAGTATCCAATTTCCTCAAAAGATGAGTCATACTTGATACCCATACAAGCCACCTAATAGCAATGAATCTACTTCCTTCATGTCTTGTCTCTAGAGTTTGTTTTCATGTCTTAATATCCTAGACAGTATTTTTTTTAAGTGTTTGTGTAATATTTTAAAACTTGTACTGTGCCCATGGCTACTGGTTGTGTATTCTCAATGGTAACATGAGTCACTGCACATTCTAACGAGGCATCTGAACCGTACGAGCTTCCTTCACCACTTCTTTTGTTTGGCATGGCACACATCTTTAGATATGTATTTGGTGAGGACAAAAAAATGCCTCCCCAGTAAGGGTACAGTGCCTTGGCCAACTCCAGTCATCTGCAATCAGAGGTGCCCATGAGAGGGCACAGTCACAGAATCAGTGACTGTTGGGGTGAATGGGATTTGAGGCTCCATCTCAGCGGATCCCTCACCTAATGCTGAAATCTTCTTTATGAGACTCCCCACATCACAGAGCCAAGCCATTTCCAGCCCAATGGATTTAAGGAAATCAATTATGTCCACACAGCTCCACCTTAATTTCTGCCACAATCTGCTTCCCTAAAGTTTCTAGTATTAATCCTATTCTGTCCTCTGAGATTGAACATACGCAGAATTTTCTCATATTCTGAAGTAACCCTGTTCCTTTAAACATCCCTTAGACTAACAAAGCTGCAAATCTCCTTGCTGTTCTGGTTCTTTGCTACAATTCAAGTACTGAAGTTGAAGTGAGGCATAGTACTCTGGGTATAGTTTAAGAACCTAGTGCCACCACTTTTCTTACTGGGATGCTATGAATAATGGCCCCCCAAAGATGTCAACACCCTATCCTTACCTTATATGGCAACATCTTGGATTGCACAGGTAGGGCCCATCTATTCACATGAATCCTTAAAAGAAGAGACTCTTTCCAGAAAGAGGGTCACAAAGTTGCTTGTTTGAAGACAGAAGAAGGAAGCCACAAGCCAGGGAATGCAGGTGGCTTCTAGAGGCTGGAAGAGGAAAGAAAACAGGTTTTCCCTGAGAGCCTTCAGGAAGGAACACAGCCCTACCAACACCTAGATTTGGGGGATTTCTGACATCTGGATGTTTAGGATTGTAAATTTGTGTTGTTTTAAGCCACCAATTTGATGCAGCAGCAATAGGAAATGCATGCAGATGCTATTCTATAATTAATGCAGTATCAGATCAAATTAAGGATTTTTTTTGGGGGGGGGAGGGAAATACATTTTCAAAAAGTGCTTATTGAGAACTTGTGGAGATCAAATTTCATCAGCTATTAAGGTTACAATACACAGTCCCTGACCTTGATGCATTCATGAGGTAGTAGGGAAAAAAATGATTCATTAGAATGAGGCACACAGAGGCTGTAATGAGTTTCTGGCCATCCTAGACACATTCTCCTGCTCACCCCCAACCCCTCTCCCAGGATTAGTGTGGTCGTGGTTGTGCAGTAGTGGTTGTAGATGACAACACTGTTGTTTGGGTAGGAGGAGGAATTTTAGGAAGGTTCTATTTACGTTATTTACACATCAATGGTGTCTGGTAAAAAAAAATCTATGCATTAATTCCAAATCTTTAACATACACATTCACAAACATGCACACATACAAATAACTAGATTTTTAAAATAAGTAATAAAGAGTGTAGGACTTTGTTATTGTTACAACTCATCTCAATGTCTGTCTTTGTCACACAAAAAAATATCCTCTTTCTGGACTAGGCCCGTCTGCTAACATTTCTCACCATTTTTGCTATACCAAAAAATGTATAAACATTATTATAAAAATGTATATTTATTAAACCAGTTATTAATGTACCTAATTATTTCAACCATTCTTTCATGTGCATCTATTTGAGAAAAACATCATTGAATCATGAAATCATGAAACTGAAGTCCTTTAGCTCAATTATCACCAGTGCTTATTATAGGGCTTAACACATAACAGGCACTAAAATAAACTAAAAATCAACCTGTATCAGGACTCTTGGCTGAGATGCAAATACACGACTCCCTGAGCTACCCAACTGGCAATCCATCCCCAAAGAAATGACCCTGATCTGGCCTGGCCTGTTCTTTGTGAAACTTGGAGAGATGGAATTTTATTAGGATGTGTGTTTCCTCTGCTCACAAACCATTTTTTGTTTTAATCTATGTTGGGCTGTTACTGAGAAATGAAATGGAACTTACAATTCAGGAGTCAGAAAGTATCTTACTTCTTCAGAAAATTGGACCCTTTGCCGGTATTTGAAATTCCTCTAATTTTCCATGATTCTAAAAATGTCTAACAGCCATTCGATATCTCTTCTCTAAGTTCTCTCAGCAGCTGAGGAAGTTGTCTGTGCACCAGGAAGATTGTCAAACAGCAGCTGTGTTCTCGGGATCTCTTTTTACTTTCTCCCTCTTTTCTAGTTAAAGGCCAGATGAGGAGAGACAGAAATACCTGAGCATCAACCTCAATTCACGATAATCCTATATCAAAAGCAACGCCATTGCTATTGAATTTACCTGTCCCTTATATGAATACAGAATCTATGTTTGATTACCACACTGAATCTGTAAGGCCACAAGCATACGAGGCATGACAATTGAGTTCAT